GTTTTTCAATGGAACAGCCTGTATCATTTTATATTTTTGGAAAGTAATAAGCAAAGCTAACTTCAACGAACTGTAAGATTCAAGGTATATTTATGAATAATACAGATAAAAATATTTACCGATTTTATTTAATTGTTGTTGTCTAGGTAGTTTTTACTTCTTCTGGTCAAAAAATGTTTCTAAAACCATCATCCATCAATGTAAGTATCAGGTTTTATTTATTTCTGAAATTTGCCCGAATACGTTGATACTCGAGATAAATCTATGTTTAGCTAATTAAAATAATTAACAATATTTAATGCGTAAAAACGTTTTAAAATTTTAAAATTTCACCCTGTTTCATTCATATAGAGTATAATTATTGTTATAGTTCGTTGAAATCGGCTTATTCGCGATTCAAGCTAAGTGATACACTCTTTGGAGGAAATTTGTAAAAGGTGTCGTAAGTAGGATTTTTTTTTCAGTGTTGCCAGGAGTAGCAAAATTTCGCTACTTTAGCGGATTTTTAGACCTTGAAGAAGTGAAAAGACCTTTTTTTTTAAGTAGCGAAATTTGTGTCTACCAATATGTAATTATACTCTAAATGATTATTATAAAACCGATTTAATTATATCGATTTTTTTAATTTCAGTTCATTTATCAATTTTGTTTTAAAATCAGTTCATCAGTTGGCAACATTGGCCTTGTTGTGTTATCTGTTGTCACGGTTCGTAGACAACACGGTGGCATCATCACGGTTGCTAACGATGCAGTGACGTCACAGAATAATAAAGTGAGTTGACAGAAAATATTTTACTTGGTGTCGTATATTAGTTTTTTAAAGTTTATAATATTTTATTGTTATTTATTGGTGTTTATATTTTTATTTTTGAACTTTCTTCTGGTGTTTTTATAATATCGGTAGTGTGATTTTTTGAAAGACAAGCTACAAAACAGCAATGTTATGATTTCCATCAAATTTCAAATGAATTACTTTTTATTTGAATTATAAAGAGAAATATTATTGTGTGAATGGTTTATTTTAAACATTTTGGATTATGGTACGGCCTAAGAGCTGAATTCAGATCACACTTTGTTTATATCCCGAAATATTTTAAAATGTTGGCAAGCCTGTAGCTAGCCGTAGTGTTGCTGTTATCTGCCAAAAGTTCCAAATAATTTTTAATTTTTACAGACAAAAATCGTTAGAAGTAATAAAGGGACCGAGCATAAACTAAAATTAAAGGCTTATGGTAAGATTTTCGAATATTATTCTGAAAATATCATTCACTATTATTAAATTAATTGCAGCTCTGTCCACCCGACATTTAAAAGCAGATGACATGGTTTCTTACAAGTATTAAACACAACAAAAAGCAAGAAAAGTCAAAGGGCTTTACTAAAAGAACCTACATTATTGAAAAAAAGGGTTTTCTACAGGAACGTTTTAGTAAAAAGTAGTTACAAATAATTTTATAGAAGAAAACAAGGACCCGTTGGACTTCAGAAGAAACATAAAAATCATAAAATGTATATTTATATCAGAAATAAAAAATATATTTTGTCAGTTTCTAGGATGTATGAACAATACAATATACTTATATAAATAAAACAACAACAACCCAGTTTTATTACAATAATCTATAAATATAAGTACCAAATTAGAGAAAAACAGTTTTATATACATATAATACACATCATAGGAGATATTACATATACTTGGAGTACTTTAATAAATCATCCAAGACCATATCTCAGATTTATTTTAGCAGTGCACTTTTGTAAAGTTGAAATCCCCAGCAATGGATACTTTAGAGTATTTCTAAGGTAAAGATTGCACCTTTTACTCAAATATCTTCTCGTGAGTGCTTTACAAACTTCTTCCCCACTCTAAAAGGCTCTTGTTTACTTCTTTAAAATTATTTGTAACTATGTACTTTTTACTACAACACTTCCTGTAGCAAATCCTTTTTGTAAAAATGTATGTTCTTTTAGTAAAGCCCTTTGACTTTTTTGCTCTCGGTTGTTTTTAACGTTTATAAGAAACCATCTCGTCTGCTTTGGTGAATGATAGTTGCAGAATAATTACTCTTAAACCTTACCATTAGTCTTTAATCTCAGTTCAGACTCGGTCCCTTTATTTATTTTAACGATTTTTGTGTGTAAACAGTAAACATTGTTTGCCAACAGTGAAACTACGGCTCGTTCCAGACTTGCCAAAATTTCAAAATATTTCGGGATATAAACAAAGTGTGATCCGAATTTAGCAAGGAGGCCGTACTTTAATCCAAAATGTTTAAAATAAACCATTCACACAATAATATTTCTCTTTATAATTCAAATAAAAAGTAATTCATTTGAAATTTAATGGAAATCATTACACGATTTGTCCATGCCGTTTTGTGGCTTGTCTTTCAAAAAGCCAAATTACCGATTTTATAAAAACTCCAACGCAGTTGTATAGTCCAATAATAAAAATATAAACACCACCAAATATTAATAAAATATTAGATTTTTTAAAAAAACTAATGTACGAACCGCAGCAGAATATTTTCTGTCAACTCGATTTTGCATTCCGTGACGTCATAGCCTTCGGACGAAGAGGCCACCGTGGTGTCTACGAACCGTGATCTGTTGTTACCTATAGTAATTTTTATTAATTCGAAATTTTCTTGTCTGAGAGCATTACATTTGTCTATTATAGTGTGTGATAAATGTGAAGTATCCAGCAAATTGCAATATGTTGCTGTTTCAACGGCAGCAATTCCAACTCAAAACGGAGTTGTTAATTAAGTTTATTTAAGCTGTTTATATAAAGTATTTTAATCTGGCTGATTTCATTATAATGATATAATACATCTAAAAACAGTTAAAAAATTACAAAGACAAAACCCCTCCCAAAACTTACACAATGTAAATAAACAAATATCTTACTTATAGGTGAAAATAATTTTGAATCGCGAATTAAGAGGAGCTTGCAAAAAATATACAATGATACAGGATGTTCATTGAAAAAAAAAAAAAAGAATACCGACAGTGTTAGACTTACGTGAAGCACCCTGTATATTTATATTTTCGTTCAGTGAACGTATAATTAAGTTCAAAACTGGACGTGTCACAGCGTTTTTTTATAATTTTCACTGTATGAATATAACTCGAGATTAAAAATTAACAGCTGCCTGCTTCTATATTTTCAACGTGACAACAAGACAAGAAGTGCTGCTTCGATTTGTCTACATTTCACAACTTGAAAGAAATAGAAATACCGATTTTAATCTAATAAAAGTCGTCGAAATTGTTTTTTTTGTATACAAAATAAACATTTGTTATTTTATATTCATTGAATACTGCCCAGCTAGGAGATGTAGGATGAACCAGTGAAGTGGATATGAAGGAACATTACAAAAGGTGTCGATATGTCCCGGTTCACCTGTTAAAACATCTCATGTTGTCGAAGTGCATTGCGCAATTGCGTTTGATATATCTCCAGCTAGACGCCTGGAGTTTATTTTTAGAATCATAATCCAGGCATTTTCACCGTTGGAAAGTCTGAAAACTGGAAGAGACGGGAAATGCGAATGATGGTCGACAGAACCGGAGCCAAATGGAAATGTCAACTACCATGTAATGTAAATTTAAATCGATGTGGTTGATAATTTTATTTTAAATTGAATAAAAATATAATATAATATTTATCATAAAACTCCCAAAACAAAAACATGGGCAAAAAGGTACACACACTTATATCATTGAGGTTGACAAATATCGATATAAATTGGTAAAAGTCATAAATTATTTTTAAATTAGATAGTAATTTTATCCTAATAACCTAAGACAATTTAAAAAAATTTTAGATTTCGTTAGTGGATTACCTACGGGTCGTGCTCAAACTTCGTCTTCGTACGATATAGCCATCATATCCACTCTTGTTGTACAAACTATTATTCTGCCAGTAGATACTTTGTTTTGACATACGGTTTAAACATCATTCGTTAAGTTACATGTATAAAGACTAGAGCTTCATAGTTACAGGTTACAACTAGTATTCATAGTTACAACAAATCGTGCAGACTTGGTGCAGCCTGCTCATTTTTACATTTTCTCATTTTACAATAAAAACGATTTAATATAGGCTATTATTACTAGACTGAGCTAAAAATATCATAAGTGTGATAAAAAATTGATAACCTTTAACTGTAAAAATGCCGTTTCATCTATGATCTACGATTATTATTGTCATTGCATAGCTTAAAAGTACTAAAATTTTAAATTTTTATAGGATACATGACAAAAAATGAGCTAATCGAAAATTCGAATTTATAGAAGAATTTAAAATTAACTAATTTGATTTTTTTAAATGTTATCTATCATCTGGGATGATGCTGATTTCAGTAATAACGAAAGTGATTAAATAATTTCTTGTTGGTAAAAAATTGTCTAGGATTTAGATGTGATTGCTGCCACAAACGCCAATTTGGAAGAACTAGACAAATCAGTCTATAGCGATGGCATAAAGGCTTTGAGCACCGATGGAATAAATATATTGAGCTACACGGAAACTACGAAGAAAAATAAAAATAGTTTTTAACCTATATTTTTTTTTCTTTTTTAAGCTGGATTATGAAGACGCTGGATACTTGTCACCCCATCCTTGTAATTTTAATCGTTTTTTTTTTACAATTGTCACTTTTGTCTATCGGAAAAATGTCAATGTCAAAATATGTAAATATTCCCAAGGCAAACACCTACAGTTTTGGCACATCTCAGAAGTTAAGCAGGTATGCTCGTATTCCCTCAATGAGTCGATATACTTGTGTATCCTGTCAAACTACTTGTCGAAGTCAGCAGACAATTTTTTTCGGAATTTGACTCTCATTATATGCTGCTACAGCGTCATTACTATTAGAACATCCTGTATATAATAATAAATCTAAAAACAGATCTCGAATTATTTATAATTTTATTATTTTCGGAAATCGCTGAATATTTCGTTTTGTAAAATATTGTTTTTTTTTTTTCAGTGAGAGTTCTATGTTTGTATCCAAACGACGTTTTATTTTAAAGACTTGTGGTACCACAACTCCCCTTTTATGTCTCGAACCTCTTCTCCTTATGGCAGAACAGTACGCAGGCTTTACAGAAGTTGAAGATTTGTATTATTCAAGAAAGAATTTTAAGAGGCCCGATTTGCAGGTCATGCCTCATCAACATTTTGACCAAGAGGTAAGACTTGTATTTTAATCGTTCATCATCATCATTTCCATTAGATTAAATTAGATTAGGAGTTGGACGTTATTTGTCCTTGTCCACCGCGACCTTTTCAGATCTGTTGTGGGACTCCGTTTGTTTTAGAGTATGTCGTCTAGCCTGGTCTTTTTTATTAGACTTAGTAGCTTTGACAGTGGCTCCCGCATGTAGTTGCATGCATTTGGCGTTTCTTCGTCCAATGTTAGAAACCTCATTCCAGCCAGGCCTTCACATTGGCACAGGACGTGGAATGATGTTTTCTCTTCTTCTTCTTCTTCTTCTTCTTCTTCTTCTTCTTCTTCTTCTTATTCACAGAACCTGCACAAAGTTGCTTCTTCTGTTGGATTGATGACACTCATGTGCCTTTTGAGGCGACAGTTTCCAGTAAGAAAGCCTACTGTTATCCTAACGGTTTGACGCTTTTGATCCAGTAGGTCTTTCGTGAACTTGGCCGATGGTTCCTTGATGATCTGTTTGGCCTGTCTCAGTCTTGGATAGTTGTTCCACCATTCCTGAGACTCTTTTTGCATCCATTGTTTAATGGATGACTTGCACAATGCCTTAGCAACTCCACAGAAGGGTTCGGGGCCTGTCATGGCCTTATCTGAGCCTTCTCGGGCTAATTCGTCGGCCTTTTCGTTGCCTTGATATCCCTCATGGCGTGGAACCCAGGCTAGGGTTACCTTATTTTGACTACTTAGCTCTGTCAGGTCTTCTAGACAGTCTTTCACCAGTCTTGATTTGATTTCTGGTGAGAGAATTGCCTTTAGAGCTGCTTGGCTATCAGAGTATATGGCAATAGTTTTGCCTGATACTTGCTGATTTAAAATTTCTCTTGCACAGTGTTGTATGGCTATTAGCTCAGCCTGGAACACTGTTTCATATTTTTCTAAACTCAGCGAAATCGTTGTTTTCGACTTGGGTCCATAGATTCCAGCACCGGCTCCTTACTTGGTTTTTGAACCGTCTGTGTACCAGACGAATTCAGCCTGTACGGGAGGTCCCTGTTTCCAGAATTCTGGGGCTGGTATTTGAATTTGAAAATTTCTTTCAAATTTGTATGTGGTTATGGCTCTATCAGTAGGCATAGCTAGAATATTATCCCTTTTTACTAGCCTTGTGTGGTCGGCGCTAAGTAGTTGGCTTATTGAGTTTTGTCCCTGCATTAGCCTGTGAATAGCTGACCTGTTTTCTCCTTGTATGAAGATGTGCAGTGGCGTGAGATTTAATAATACCTCCATTGCTGCAGCCGGCGTAGTGCGCATGGCCCCAGTAGCACTTAGACAGGCAAGCTGCTAAATGTTAGTGAGTTGGCCTATTGCACTTGCCTGCGCAGTTTTGGTTATCCACGCCACTGCGCCATAGGTTATCATGGGTCTTATTACCCTTGTGTATAACCATATGGTCATTTTGGGGTTTAGACCCCAGATTTTTCCACATATTCTTCTACAGCTTACGAGAGCTATTGTAGCTTTGTATGTGAGTTTTTTAAGATGTTGATTCCACGTTAGCCTTTGGTCAAATATGACTCCGAGGTATTTGGCTTCTGTAACGAATGTGATAACTATGTTGTTTAGTACTAGTGGTCTTAGTCCTGTAAGTATTCGTTTTTTTGTGTATGATACAACTGTTGTTTTTTGTGCGTTAATGGACAATTGTTCCTTTCTGCACCAGTTGTTCACAATGTTTAGAGCTGTTTGAGATCGCTCCGAGACTGTGCCTGCAAATCGCCCCCTGACGATAATTTCTAGGTCGTCTGCGTATCCTAGGCACTGGTAGCCTTCTTTGGACAATATTTTGAGTATGTCGTCCACAAGAACTGACCATAGCATTAGAGATAGTATTCCTCTTTGTGGGCAGCCCGGTGTAACTTTTGCCTATATGGTTGCCTTTCCTAGAGTGGATAAAATAATTCTGTTCTCTAGACAGACAGTGATCCATTGGCATATTGTAACTGGGACGTTTCTCTCTTCTAGAGCCTTGGTTATTGACCTGGTTGAGGCATTGTTGAAAGTTCCTTCGATATCTAAGAAAGTGGCTATTGCGATTTCTTTGTCATCTATTGACTTTGAAAGCAGCTTGTTTAGATCGTCCAGCGCTAGGTCAGTTGACTTTCCTGGCTCGTATGCATATTGGGATGGAGCGGATTTATTTTTAGTATCTTGTCCCTGATATACGTATCTATTAATCTTTCTAGAGTTTTAAGTAGGAAGGAGGATAGGCTTATGGGGCAATATGACTTTGGGGTTTGGTCTGTGACCTTACCTACTTTGGCAAGGTAGACTACTTTCGCCTTTTGCCATATTGCTGGGATATATCTCCAGGCAATACATGCTCTAAAGATTTTGCATAAATGTGGCATTAACACATCTTTACCCTTCTGGAGCAGAATTGGATATATTCCATCCGGCCCCGGGATTTGCATGTCTTAAATTTGTTGATAGCCCAACTAATCCTGTGTGGTCTTGTGATCTCGGAGGCCAGCTTCCAGTCTTTGGAGTTGGTCTGATCCCCTTGTGAATGTTGCTCTCTTGGTCTCCTGAGTCTAGTCCTGTTAGGATAGTTGAGGCCGGAAAGTGCACCCGAGTTAGCATCTCTAGACTTTCCTCTTTCCTCTAGTGTCGTGGTGAAGGTATCATCCTCTTGGGGAATCCCACTTGACTAGATGTACTGTCTTTGGCTATAACTCTATGCATTCTAGCGCTGGCGGTGGTCTCTGAGACCTCTTCGCAGAACTTCCTCCATGAGTTTCTTTTAGCCTTGCATACTTCCTTGTTATACTCTGTGAGCTTATTTTTATAAGTAGTCCAGTCTTGGATATGGCTCTGATGAATAGCCTTCGCATCTCGCCTCTCGGACTATCTAGGTGTTTATTCCACCAGACTGTTTTTCTCGTTTGGCACAGTTTCCATTCCCTTCTACTCATGTACATTGCTTTCCAGTCAACTTTTCTTCTCGGTCTTCCTCCCCTTTGCTTTTCGGTTATGGCGGAATTCATTGTGTACTTCAAATTCCTAATCATAGCTATTGGTCTTTTGTATCCTGTCCGTTTTATTTTCTTCTACATCTTTGTTTGTTTTTAACATTCTTTATTCTTCTTATTATCTTTGGTCCTATTACAGGTCTCATTATCTTTCTTTCAAGAATCTTCAACTATTCTTCATTTTTGGTTATTACAGAAGTCTCCCTTGTGTAGGTGGGATGTGATAGTCGAGTCTAATACGTTTTTAGTTTTGCTTTATGCTATTAATTTGTATTTGATCTATAAAGGTAACATTTGGGTACGCGCGACAAAGGAAGACGACAGGCAGCAAATTCTACGCAGCAGATTCTGCGCAGAAAATCCTACCGTGCTAAAACTGCTGTCGTCTATCGTGCCTTCCCAAATGTGTTTCATATAATTATATGTGTTCAGACCTGAAGAGACCGTTTCGGTCTCCTTCGCTGTCGTCATACGCTTGACGTCGGTCTCGGGTCGCGCCTTCCCAAATGGTACCTTTATACTATTTTCAGTACTATTTTTTAGTTTTGTTTAGTAATAACTTGCAAATTGTATAATGATTATAGTGTCAAACATTGAAGATTATAATTATATTTTTCCAGATAACTTTTGACATTTTAAATCTATATACTTTTTAATTTTATGAAGTACGAGAAATATATCATTTTGTTTTTTTTTTTAAGGTTGCTCTTCTAGACACACTCTTTCCAGACGGAGCTGCCTATTGTTTGGGAGCGGTGAACAGAGACTGTTGGTACCTGTATACTTTCAACCCTTTACCCCATCGTCTGCCGACGTTGCCCAATCCCGATGAACCGGACCAAACCCTGGAAATCATGATGACAGACCTCGACCCTGAGATTATGTCCATATTCACGAAAGAAGAGTGTCTGAATGCTACAGAAGCCACCAAGGTCAGTGAAAATTAAATTTAAGATGTACTTAAGTGATGCGTTTATTGATAAATTGGAGCAATTTCAACGTTGCTAAGCGGATAATATGTACACCGACTTTCGAAAAATATTTAAAAGAGTCTTTAGTTTGGGGACACGGAGAAAAAAAATAGATTTTGCCGACTATTTGCCAAATAATATCTATTAGATCAATAATAGTTTATTTTCAACGAATTATTACTAATAATACAAACATTAAATTATATAGGGCGTTTTAGAATAAAACTGTAGGTGTGATTGTAAATCACTTATTATTAATGACTAGCATTTCATTACCTAGGCAGATACAGGATGTTTTAACGATTTTTGTATGAATTTTTATTTGGCCAAAATTCAACAACGACTCATAAAAATTTCAAATTTAGCAGATAGATGTTCCTCTATATGTGTCGTTAATTATAAAAGTGGTTTATCTCCGTTTACTTGCTTATTGTAATATAAAGTGTTTTGCAAAAAGATCTACAGGAACAAAAATAATTCGAGAGACGCTAAAATGGTGGTTCCCACCTTATCGAGACTGAGGCCCACAAGGGTAAACTCGTAGCTTAAAAAAAACGAGAAATGATTTAACTTGGAACGAAAGACCGGAAGCCGATAGTAGTATTAAGACGTTGAATTTTTTTGGTTTTTGAAGAATTGGCATTATGTTAAACCATGTAATGATTTTCTCAAGCCTTTATTTTTAAAACCATTCTATATCGCTTTTTGATTATGGTTTACAAACTTGTTCGAGCAATTTATCCAATAATAAATGGCCCCTTTGCCTCTTAAGCCTGCTCATGTAAAATATTTGGGCTCCTTACTTCGCCTATTTATCTAAAAATATTTGGTCCCTTTTAAATATAACATGTTAAATTATATTATCCCTTTACTCCCTTAGATCTGTTCATGTATAAATATTTGCACCCATTGTCGCTTAAGCCTACCTACGTATAAAAATTTAAAATAGTTTCAAAAAGCGGCAACATTTTTCGGCAATTCTTTGGGCAGTGGCATTTATCGTTCTGATAGTTTAAAAATGGTAGTGTTGGACGACTACTGATGTATTTTTACATATTTTTATAAAAATTATCGGTAATTAAAAATTGTTGTTTTTGTCTTGGTTTTGGGAAAATTTACTAAAAAAGCTAATAGGTCTTGAAAACCTCTAATTTTCATGCAATACATCTCATTATGATATTTTTGCATACGTATAATTTACATTGAATATTTTTAAGATGTCATTTTAAGTGGCTGTATCGTCTAAACCAAACATTTTACAAACAAATACTAAGAGACAAAAAGTTTCCAAATAGATGTTGCATTTCAGTAGCGTTTTTAATAAAATTTTAAATTACAAAAAAGTTGAGTAGAGAAAGGGGTGGTGACACCCTCCAAAATCCTACAGAAATAAAAAAAATATATTGCCTCTACCTCGATTTTGTTAGTCATGGTATTCCAACACGTCATATTAAATTTCATGAAAAAATGTCAAACGGTTTAAGAGCAACGTTAAAAAAATTATTTAAATTTTTATCTTATACACACCCTGTAACTATTTTTGGGTGCACTTTTGTACATAGGTAAGTACGGTTTAATCGACCTATTTTTGACCCAAGAATACGTGGTATAATTTATGACCAATCTTTTTGAAACACCCTGTATATGTGGTTTCACAGTTAATAGGCATAGTCATATATGTAGTCGGATTTTACTGTGTATAAAATAAACTACATAAGAAATGTATTGAATTTTGAAAATATTGATACAAAATGCAGTTAGTTTAAATTTTTTTAATTTTTCCATTTTTCGATTTTTTGTTTTTTTAATTTTTCTACTATTTACTATTCTACTATGAACCTCCCTTAGAAATCTCACCTTTACAATCAACAGCTGTTGTTTGACAGGTCGTTGGAGTGCCTAATATTAGAATGTTTGCAATGTATGGAATGGTTGGAATGCGTAAAATAAGTCACATAAGAAATGCATGGGCGGATTTTAAGGACATTGATATTAAATTCTAAAAATCAATAGGGTTCTAAGTTGGAAGCAATTATTCAAGAAAATCAAAACCGCAAGTCAGTCAGAACTTTCGTTCTAGAGTTATCGTACCGGCATACATACGCACAAACGACTAGACGAACAGCCTTTTTTGCATTATCGGACTTTAAAAAAATGAGAGTAAGAAAATTTTTTCCTCTGCACGAATGCAATACTGAGACCCCATAGAAAGGGCCTCAGTAAAACTAGTTTTAAATGTTTAAAAACTTTTGTCCACGCCACTTAATAATAAATAAATATTCTACCTCCTAACTAAGAGCATATCTGTAACGTGTGGAGGGTGGGTTACCCCCACGGCACCTAGGCCTCACTAGGCCCACTGTGCATCCTTCTGAGACGATAGGCTCGTGAGCCAGTCTACAAATTTTATGTAGTTGACAACGTCGCTAAGAGGTGCTTCTCTTATATCGGCCGGTGTTAGCCGATACTCGCCGAACACAAATCTTCTAATAAATGAGAGCGTCGGGCAATCGTAAAGTATATGCTCGATGGTCTCATCTTCTTGTTCGCACCCTCTGCAGAGTGCGGATTCTGACAGCCCCATGATATGGAGATGCTTTCGTACTTGGCAATGACCAGTCAGAATGCCTGTGACTAGGCGCAGATTCTGTCTAGTCATAGTCAAGTATTTGTTTGCTGCAGTGTTGTCAGGATAACTTAAGAGCTCCCTGGCAACTCTGCAGTTTCTTGTTTCGTCCCATCTTGAATTTCACAAGGGAATGTTCTTTGATTAGGCCTGTCACTACCGATTTTGTCAGGCCAATAGAAGGGCCAGGTCCAAAAAGTATTTGGTTGGCTGCTTTTTTGGCTAGTGAATCAGCAAGACGGTTACCTTTCGATGTGGCGTAACCTTTGATCCATCTTAAGGTTGTTGATGGATACTTCGGCCAAAGCTTCGTGACATTCTAGTACTAACCCTGAGTAAATTCGTGGTCTGTTCAGGGTGAGTAGTGCTTGTCTGCTATCTATATAGATGAGCATGTTCCTTTCAGTGATATTGTTTCTGGTTATTTCTTTTGCTGCTATGAGAATACCCGTTAGTTCTGTTTGAACTACACTAGCACTATTGCTCACAGCCCATTTTATGTTTAGGTTTAAGAATCTGGAGTATATTCCACATCCTGAGCCTTGTTTTGTTTTAGAACCGTCGGTGTAGATATGAATCGTACCTGCCACTTCCGGCTCTTCTATTTATTCTATTATAACTTTATATGGCTTATGGAAGATATATCTCTGCGAGATGGAGTCCATGTTAGCTCAAAGCCTCCTGCCAAAAGCGACATGTCGCCTCACCAGATCCTACCTCAGGTTCTGTTCCAACCGTGCGGAGGCGTGTCATTGTCGTCAGAGCAACCTCCTTGATGTAAATCTCAAAGGGGGTGAGACTGAAAATGACTTCCATGGCCCTGGTCGGTGTTGTTTTCATGGCTCCTGTTATGTTGAGACATGCTGTTCTTTGAATTTGTTCTAGTTTACGGATAGCTGTTAATTTTTGGGTTTTCGATACCCAGACAACTGCACCGTATGTTAGCATAGGTCTTATGATAGCCGTGTAAGTCCATGCGACGACTCTGGGGGAGCAACCCCATGTGCGTCCCACGGTTCGGCGGCATTGTTCATAAGCAACTCTGTTTTCTAAATGCGAGTTCCATGTTAACTTGCTGTCAAAGGGGAGACCTAGGTACTTCACCTCTGTTGCAAAGTTTAGTTTTGTGTTTAGGAGTTCTGGAGGTTTTAATTCTATTTTCATCCTTTTTCTTGTGAAAAGGACCATTTCTTTCTTAGGATTGATAGAGAGTGAATGGTCCTTGCACTGTTAGAACATTTTTAGAGCTACTTGCATTCGTTCGCAGAGTATGTTCTCAAAATTCCCTGTTTGCAGAATGACCAGGTCATCTGCATATGCTATTGTGTATTGACTGTCATTATTTAGTCGGCTGATGAGGGTGTCGAGGACCATATTCCACAGTAGAGGTGATAGCACCCCTCCCTGTGGACATCCCCTCGCAACCAAGCCTCTTATATTCACATCTTCTACACTTATGTTTACTGCTCGCTTTGAGAGCATGTTATGTATCCACCCACTAACCATTTGTCGAACATTCCTGTTGGTTAGTGAGTGTATTATCTTTGGGAAGGTGGTTTTATCATAAGCACTTTCTATGTCTATGAAAACACCCAAGGCGGACTCCTTATTGTCCAGGGATCTTTCTATCCGGCCAGCAACTAGATGAAGGGCTGAATCAGTAGATCTGCCTGTGGTGTATGCATGTTGGTTTGGGTGTAACGGTGTTGTTGTAATCACCGTATCCTTTATGTACCTTCCGCATAGCCTTTCCAATGTCTTCATGGAAAACGATGTCAGACTAATTGGTCGGTATGTTTTTGGGACAGTGTAATCAATCCTTCCAGGTTTGGGTATAAATACCACTTTAACGTCTCTCCATTTTTTGGGGATATACCTCAAAGCCAACGAGGATCTGAATATACCCACCAGGTGCGGTGTGAGTTCTTTCAGACCCCACTGAAGTAGGGCTGGATAGATACCTTCAGGTCCTGGCGAGTTAAATGGAGAGAAGCTGGATATTGCCCATCTAATTTTTTCATCGTCTACGATGTGTTTGGCAGTTTGCCAATCATAGACAGATGGATTGTATTCTTCCTCTGCCCAGTCCGCCACGTGTGATGACCGAGTCAGGGAAGTGTGTTGACAGCAGAAGTTTGATGCTATCTTCGAGGTTGGCAGTTTTCGTGCCATCCTCTTGATTAGTGCACCAATGCTTCGATGTGGATCTTTTCAGAAAGCTTTTTGAAGACTCGCTGCCTGCGGGAAATCTTCGATTTCTTCGCAGTAGGATCTCCATGCATCTCTCTGTTTTTGTCTGACGATTTTTTTTGTATTCTTTGAGGTGAGATTTATA